TATTATATAGTATTATTTTCTTTATTTATTTTATAGAAATATAGTAGCTAGCTATTAACTAGCTCTAGTAGCTGTACCTTCTAGTATCTAACTATACCTACCTACTTAAAACTATTGTATAGGTCTTTAAATAATATAATAACTATACTAAATAATAACTATATTAATTACTTATAGATATTTAGTAATAGGTCTATATAGTATATAATAAATACTATACTACGTAAGTTATTACCTTAGCTATAAGAGGAAATTATACTAAGTTTTAATCTATTTAAGAGAATATAATTTTAAAATATTACTATATTTTATAGTAAAGTTCTAGTGTACTAAGTAATATTAATATCTTTTATTTTATCTAGCTTCTATTACTATTAAGGATTTATAGGTATACTTATCTTATTTATAAGGTTATATATATTATTTATAGAATTATTATTATCTTAATATACTATATTATTATTTCTAATAAGGTTTATATGCTTATTTCTACTCTACCTTATATAAATATATTATTTCTAAATAAGTATATTAATTTTTATACTTTTATACTTCTAACTAGTAGATATAGTAAACCTCTTTACTATATAAAGAAATTACTTAAGTAACTATTAAGCGTAGTAAAATAAGGGACTAAAATCTTATATATTCTGCTTAAGATAAAGTAGGTAATAATACTAAATAGTATATAATAGTAGTAGGTTTAGATCTTCTTAATAATATAGATTCTTATACTTATATATAAATACCTATACCTATTTCTTAACCTTATTAATATTATATTTTATAAATTTATATTAGCTAGTGTATTAAAGAAGTTAGTAGTATTATAAAAAGTTATTAAAGTATATCTTTAGCAGGAACTATTACAGTAGGGTAACACAAATAAAAAGTTACTTTAAAAGTCTACTATTTTAAGAGCGTATATCTTAGTTAGTAGTAGAGCTATAAATATAAAAAAAAGAGATTTAGAAAGAGAAAATATTGATTTATTACTTATTTATATAAAACTTTTGCTTAGTAATCTCTAGAGGATGGTTCTTTGGCAGTGTTTAAGAGGAGTAAAAAAGAGTCTAATAAAAGTAGTAATAAGTATTTTTTATAGGTATAAAATTAACTTAAAATAGTATAAACTTTCTTATCTATTTATTAATATTAGATTCTGAGTTTTTTAGGTATAGTTACTTAATTAAAAAAGATAGAATTTAATAAAGTAGTAAAAGTAGTTAGAATAGAATAATATAATAAGTAATAGCTAACTAGTACTTAGTATACTACCCTTTAGCGTCTATAACTGCCTTATAACGCCTAGGAATAGATAAAATATAGTTATCTATACTCTGTTGTGGGATTAAATCCTACTCCTTATATATAGCCCTCTTAAAGGCCTCTATACTAGCCTTACTAGCTTCTACCCCTAAACTAGTACTTATTCTATTATTTAGTCTATCTTTTAATAGACTCTAGACATTTTTAATAGGTGCTAGATCTAGGCTATAGGGCAGATACTAATAAAGAGAAATTTTATTTCTCTTAAACTAAGCTATTATATTTAGTGTTTTATAAGTTTTAGCGTTATCTTGCTAAAACTTCTAGCCTAAATAGATATAAGTATAAAGAATTTTTTAAGAATTTAGAAAAAATTAAAGGAGTAAAAATAGAGGTTAAAAATAATAAAAGAGTTAGAAATAAAGAATAATAAACTTACCTTTTTTAATAGCTAGTTTAACGTAGCGTATTAAAACCTTTCTTAGGTAGTCTTTATTTATATAAGACTTAGTTGTAAAAGGTGTTTTAATAACCTCTAATTTAGAGCGTCTACCTATCTAAATTGCTCCCTATACTTAGATAGAAATGTCCTAGGCTGTAAAAAAGTTAGTTCTAAAGCTATAAAAAAGATAGTTAAATAAAAATAAAGAGAAAAAAATGCTCTAAAACTTAGCTTACTAGGAAAAATTTTAAACTTACTTGTATTAGTTGTATTAACTATTTAGTTACTAACTCTGTTATTTTCCTTCTTTCTATAATATTCCTTTCTAGCACTGTGCTTATACTAGATTACTAACTTATTAGAAAATACTATCTTATTAAGATTTATATTTCTAATGTTTTTATTCTGCTCTTTAGCTAGTAAAAGCCTCCTTTTAGCTTTATATCTATCTAATAAAGCTTTTTTAGAAGCTATATTAATAGAATATCTTTTTTTTTCAAAAATCTTTGTAAGCTTCTTTTATGTATAGAAAGGTTATTTTTAACTAATACACTTTTATTTTTAACCTTAGGGTTATTTATTATAGCCTTATTAATAACTCTTTCTTCTCTTTTAGATAGCTTAGAAATACGTCCTT